AGAGAGAGAGAGAGAGAGAGAGAGAGAGAGAGAGAGAGAGAGGGGAGTGATACAAGATTGTTGTGCGGTCCAAGGAAGAAGAAGGCGGCCATAGCCGCGGAGCTCGGGCATGGAGGTAGAAGAAAGAAGACGAGTGAAAGAGGAGGGAGAGACGAAGGATGAGAGAGAAGCCATAGCCGAGGAAGGAGAAGGGAGAGACGAAGAAGGGAAAGGAACTCATAGCCCGGGTGAAAAGAGAAAGCAGCGAGGAAGAAGAAAGGAGGGGGAAAAGAGAAGCAAGGGTTGGCAAGAGAGAAAGTGTCGGCAGCCATAGCCGAATTGACCGTCGACCAAAGGGTTGACCAGAGTTGACTTGGGCGTTGACCAAGAAGTTGACCAAGGTTGATTTGGGCGTTGACTGAGGGGTTGACCGACGTTGACCAGGCGTTGACCAGTGCTGTTGACCACGAGTTTGACCAAGCTGGCGTTGGTATAATCTCGCCAAGCCCTTAGCCTATTCCCTCGCCCTATGGATGTGCACTCACCCCATGGTACTTGCTGAGTCTGTCTATCTCTTCTTTCTGCATTGAGTCTCTTCTGTCCAGGTGATAGGAACTCTGTGTATGAAGGATAGGGCCTTGTTGACCAAACCTACACGGGCTGAGTAGGGCTAAAGGCTGTGTCTGACGACTCGACTGTCCCGGAGGACACGAACCCTCCCAAGGACCGGTACTGACCGGCGGGCTGCTCAGTGTGGCGCGGTAGGCCCAAAATCCGAGCTGTGGGCTGCACAACAGGCTGTCTAAGTCTTGATCGCGTCGCCCTGTTTGCGACGTTAAAGAATTCCTGAGTTACAGGGGATCTCCTTAAATGCCTCCTGATCAGCAGTAAGTCCTGTAGTGACAACTCAGAAGTAGGTCTAGGCTAGTGACCCTAGTTGGCAGGGTCTGAACCAGAGAGAAAGCCAGGTGGGATTGACCGCAGGTGCTGGGCATCTGGGTCTGGATTGTAAAGGACAGTGGTGGCGAAAGCTTTCGTTGGCCATGGTATCCTGGCTGGATCGAAGGGTAAGGCTCTGTGGTCCTTAGAGAGTCAGTAGGTAAGTTAAGTCAGCCAGGGGGTGGAAGTCTAAGTGGTGAGGAGTGGAACTGACACTCGGTTGTGCATCTTTCACCATGGTTGAGAAGCGCAGCGGTAAGATCACCACCCGTATACTAAAGAGCAAGAAGAGAAATCCGCCGCCTTCCTGAGACAGAAGAAGGAGAAGATGGAGAAGAGGGAGCTGATCAAGCAGGCGAAGATGCTGGCCTTAATGGAGGAGCAAAAGGCCAAGCAGAAGCAAATGGAGGAGGAACTTCAAAAGTGGAAAAAGGAGCAGGAGGAGAAATTGGCGGCAATAGAGTCAGAAACAGAAGAAGAAGAGGAGTTACCACTGGACAGGAGAGGAAGGACAGGAGAGAGAGGGGAATCCAGTGGGGAGCAAGAGGCCGAAGCCAAGACGGAGGCAAAAGCTAAGATGGAGAGAATGGTGAACGAATGGGTAGCTAACTTGGCCCTGGGGGAGGAGGGTGAAGCATTGTTGTTTGTCCCTCAAGCAGAGCGGGAACAATTTGCTAGGGAGTTGGAGGGTGAAGAGAATCCCATGAAGCGGCAAGCGATGGAGGAGGAGAAAAAGTTAGTGGAAACTCCGCCCTGCCCGCGAGAGGAAAAGGAGATTGGATGCGGTCGAGAAAATGGAAGAAGATTTGAGGGCCGCTGAAGTAGAACATGGGAGGTTGGCAATGCAAGTTGATCTCCAAAAGAAGGTGGAGATCTTATCACAGAGCGTGGAGGTGATGCTGAAGGCGCAGCAAGAACAGTTACGCTATTTAAAGGGCCATGACATCACACTGCAATCCATGCGCACCGGTTTTAAGGATTTTGCAAAGGATATGATGATGCACGTAGGCACCGAATTGCGCACGATTATGGAGGGCACTCAGAAGTTTTGCGTGGGCGCCATTGAAGGCGCCAAGATAGTGGGCCCAAAAGAGGAAGAGGCCCGGCCACGTGAGAGCCCGTTAAAGTGAAGTTCCCGGATTCCTACAGTGGGAAGAAGGAGGAGAACTTCGATAATCGGGAGGCAAACGTGAACTCTTATGTTCACCTCCAGAAGATCACTCATGAGGAACATGTCCTCATTGCCTTCCATGCCCTTAAAGACGAAGCAGCTAGCTTCGCCAGATCGCTTTGCCGTGCTGCCAAGTGCGAGAACGATATGGTCGCGTATTCTCTAATCACCCCCCAGAGTGATTTCTTTAAGCTACTACGTGAGAGATTCGCAGATGTCACGCGAAGTGTTAGAGCTTCCGACAAACTGCAAACAATCCATTCTCGCCAATGGAGGAGTGCCAGGGCACTCAAGGGTGTCATGGATGAGTTAGTAGCGGTCCCTGACCATGGGGTCACTGAGACCTAGCTGGTCCAACTGTTTTATCGCGCCATGCCCGAACCGTTGCGCGAGCATTTCTTTGAGAAGAGGAGAGATTCTGCCATGACCTACGATAGGGAGGTGGTAGCATTTGAAGCGCGGTCCATGCCAGTTTCCACTTTCTGGCATAAGGACCTTGATAAGGGCAAGAAGTGGAAAGGCCGCACCATCTCGGGTCAGGTTAAGGGCAAGGATCACCTGATCCTTACGCTAGATGAGGGCGGCATGGAAGTGGTCCCATATGATCAGATAGAGTGGGGCCTGGATGAAGAAGATAGTGGTGTTAGTCAAGGGAGGACGTACATCGCTGTCGCGGCTGGAGGGAAGCCGCAAGGAAGAGGAGGAGGCCGGGGCCAAGGGGGCCAAGCTTCCAGTGGTCGAGGATAGGGCGATCAGGGGGTTGGCGGCAGAGGAAACCGCCAAGCGGGAGGTAGGGGACAAGGTCGTTTTAATCGGTCACCTCCCAGGAGGGGTGGATGGCACCCTGGCTGGCCGCAAGGCAAGCCCTGGGAAGATTTGGGTCTCAAACAGTCAGTGTGGCAGAAAAGAATAGACCAGGATCAATGCATTTATTGTCGTGACCCTGGGCATATTATTAAATATGCACAGGCAACAAAAGGCAACCATCGGTAGGGGTCGCAACTGCCCTTACCTCTAGGCCATGTGGAGAAGAGTGCGCGCACCACATAGAAACTCCCAAACCACATGCGTCTATGGCAGAGGTTGCTGGCCAGTCCTAGATAGTTGTCCAGAGAC